ACCTTAACACTCTACTTGTCACTAGAAAATGAAAGTATGAACCTAAATTCTGTGTGTTATACGTTAACGTGTGCGTGCTTAATTCATTTTTAGCCCATCATGTCCTAGATGAGAGTAATAAGGTGAACGTCACGAACAGAATATCTGTGAGATTTAGCTTTGGAACGGACTGAACCGCTAATATAAATCTTTATCAGTGGTCGAGTTCACTAATTAAGCCGAGGCATTATTATACACGTGAGAATTTGTGTGAATTTCAAATCGGCATCCATCCATTTAGAGTTTAGACTCGGCTGCAAATGATTTGACTCCATCTTGAGCTTTCTTTCAGTAAATGTTGAAAGCGTATAGTTATCAATTATCATGATAATAACACATTATTATTAATATATTGTATTATTATATTATATTATTAGCATGATCATTATAAAATTATGGAAATAATAAATAAAGATTACAATATAAATAAATAAAATAAATTCTAACATTTATTACACGCTTCGACATTAAAATATACCCAACAAAGATGTACATTTAAGTCATTCAAGCGAGACTTAGTGTTGAAATATCAAGATATGATTATGGACTTATTCAGTTATACTCATGACTCATGAGTCCCACATCTTATCAGATGAGATGTGTGACTCATGAGTCATGAGTATAACTGAATATTGTAATCTTTATTTATTATTTCCATAATGTACACTGTATATATAACTGAATATCATGATGAGACTCATCGTGATATTCAGTTATATATACAGTGTACACGTTGGTTAAAGCTTGTGTGAGCAAAGGGAAATACTACAACTTTTACAGGACTATTGGATCCACACAGAATAGATGCGTGTAGGCATTGTCTTTCTTGTAGCTATCTTCTTGTTCAGTAATTAGTTATTACATTACATCTATATTATATCATGTAAATATTGTATTTAGTTTATGTATCCTTTCTGGTGCCCTTGCTTTGTGGACGCTAACATTCTGAACCCCTATAATCGGTATCCAACATGAGTTTCCATTATTAAGTTGTCTAAAAGTTTTAAGACTTTAATAAACAAAATTAGTCTTGGCATTACTAGACGATAATAATTTTGTTTCTGCGGAAACTTGCCTGGCTGCCTGGGCTTTGTCCTCCACCCTTCTCCTCTTCCTGATCCTCTTCCTCATCCAAAGCCGAGAAGGTTAAAATTACTTGACCTCATAGACCACTTCTTATTCCATTCGATCAACCCAGAACTAGTCCAATTGGTAAGTTTGCTTGGGTTGTTGGTCCCTTATCCTGGAGACTGTTTCATCCTAACCTCAAAGTCTATCCCTCAACCATTGAAAACTTGATAATAACATACCACTGCTTCCTTAGTTCCTTACTTCACCACTTAATTACATATTTTGATCACATAATGTCTGAACGGTCCGGGGGTCCATTATTGGATGTTTTACTAGATTAATTCCATAAATCACTCACACGTGTATTCAACTGAAGGTTATTTACTTATACATTTCTATGCTGCTCATATGACCAGCACTAGCTTACGTCTGTGCTTGTTTACTGGATCAGAAGGATACAGACTCGCTCTACTTTTCACTGCTACAATCTTAGTGGCTTTAACTTCATCATTAAACTTGTTCACTAATCGGACTTAGTGGAGAATGCAGCCGCTCGCTTTAGCTTTCATTCATTTGAGCCTTAGCAGACATAGTTGCTTGGTGATAAGCATATTTTGTGATTAGTGAAGAAGTCACAAAATGTAGACGCAAGCCACATAAACCAGAACACATTATATCTTGGACAGCAACCGGTCCTTATTGAAATAGATTGCATTTGGCCATCCAAACATTTATACCATATTTAAAATGCTGGGTTTTGTCTCTCGAAAATCTACCGATGCACTTAACCTTGACTTTTCTCTTGTAATCTCACAACTGAACTCTCAAGTTATGCATCCAGCATGGCTATATTTCCCGTGTTCTGTCATAGTATAAGAAATATTTAACACCTGTACCTGTATATTAAGTGGTTTTTGACCCAATTCGCTTGTCGATTTGGTCTTACATTTGGGGCAACAATACCAAGACCTCTGTGAATTATAATCATATCCGTCATAATCAAATCTAGTATCCAACTGAGTAGCTAATGGTTTGCTTTCACAGGAGCCCAATGCCCATCCCTACTCTTTAACCACCAATGCCGTCATCATGGTTAATAATTGCACTATGCCTGCTTTCACAGGGGCCCATCCCTACTCTCTAACCATCAATGACGTCATCAATGGTTAATGGTTTCACTATACAGCCTGGTGGTTCGGTGATTAACCTTGATCTTTGTTTTAAGTGCAAGGATAAGGATATGGTTAATGATATAATTATGACAGATTTTAAGTGCTGGACATCCTAGTAACCTGAAAGAGGAAACCTAATTTGATTAAACCTTCCGCTAATTCCCATTTATTATAGCGTGAATCTTGGACTATAGACTTCCGACATAACTTAGTTATTGTAGACTCTTCAATCGGACCAAACTTTGTATTGTTTTTTTAAATTCCGTAGCCACTTACAAATACAAAGTACGAAATCCTTAAAGTACAACACTGTAAAAGGTTAGGCCAAGTGCGGACCTTCCTTGGTAAAAGATCGAACAAAAAGTATGACCAAGTGCCAAGTGGTTTTCAGGGACAAAAACGTTTTAAATTCCATGAGAATAATACAACATGTGTAGTTTAAATAGAACTATTTTAGTTAGATAGTTTTCTCGACTTTACTGCGATGTATAATGAACATTTTAAACCGTAGTGCTTCGTTTCGTTTCGTTGAATTTAATCATCAAAATATTTCCTAACATACGATGTCTCTGCTCGAGTAGTTAGCGTTACAACATGAAATAATAATATTTGTTGGGATTTGTTTTGGATTTGTGTATATATCAAAATTTTATTTACTCAGAATTAGTATTTATTCACAATGCAACAGTAATTATATTTTCTAGGAGTACTAATCTTAAATGCCTGCGTTTACAAAGGAGCACAAATAGAATACACAGAAATCTGCATTGTACGCGGTAGTAATGTGTTTTCATTTGACAATTCTAATTTTGATTGTATTTAATATAAGCTTTCCCTACATCTTACAACACGGCAACTTTAGCTTTTTATCTTTATTAACATTATAAAGCATACTCGATTTGCATCAGTGTGACTAAAGATATTCAAGAGTCCAACCTCAGTGCGACACCTGCGAACACCTTTATTTTTCAAATTCATTAAATGTCCGGTCGCATGCGCTAGTAGTACAGGGATATAATATTAATAAATGAATTAGTCAGCAGCCGAAGATGAATAGATCCTTCTTCCTTGCTAGAGATATTACTTTTGTATGCTCTCCAGTCTCCGTTTTTAACTTTTTAACATTACAAGCGTTTGTATTTATTATATATCTTGTTCGGAATAGATAAGTTTCCTTTCAGAATTCAAGTACATAACAATATATAATAATATGATAAAGTAATAATATGAAATCACCTCAGTTTAAACGCGTTGATTTTATCCAATTGTACCAATGTATTATGTTTGATTGTTCTTAATGAATTAAACTGAATGCAGTTTAAGGTTAATTCTACTACATTGTATTTGTAATGGAATATTATCTCATTCACGTCAGTATGTATAATATAAGTTTAGATATTCTATTATTTAGGATATTTTTATTAACGTTGCTGATATTAATCTAAGAGGTCTTTATACACTTTCACGAATGAAAGAAAAGGATAGACATTATATCTTGATATCTTCAGGAACACCTTGACCTCTTTAATCTCTATAATACCGTGACGCATTCCAAAACTGTCGACTATATGTTTAAGTCTAGACGTGATCAAGCAGTACTGCAAGTTCCTCGTCGTACGCCCTAACCGCTGCCCATCATTACGACAACATAACCATCGCTCTACATATAATTACGGTGCAATGGAACAATGTTCCGCAATTTCGGTGCAGTACCAAAATTAATAAAGATCATTTTCATGTATGAAGCAAATGGTTGCTTCATTCAAACGTAGAATTCCTTTTGAGTGCCAGGGTAAATGTGGTTCGCCTCCCTACCATCTTGTAGTACCTGTAATTCTTCTAATTCTTTAAATTTTTTCCTTTTCACCCTTTTGAAAAAAGGCAATAGTGAAAGGTTACGAATGGACGTTTTTGCAGAAAAACGTGGATTTTGGAGATTGCGGGAGGTGGGTCTGAATATGTCGTCAGTCCTTCCTTACTTCCGTTAGTAACCATGTCAACGAAAAAGTTGCGCGCGCGAGGATTGCTTGCGGAGATGTGATGTATAGGTAGCCTGTGATCTATGAATGCGCGGCGCAACTGTGTTTTAATGTATATGATGTAATGTATAATATTAGGTTATAAGCCCAATTTGTACGTGGCACGCGTAGTGTATTGATGTGTAGACGAGTATAGTTTACCTTTGCTTACGATTTAAGTTCTTTGCTTTACAAGTTAAGTTCTTTGGCAATTGAACTGAATTTCAAGTGTTTCCTGTACTTAATGCATAATTTATCAATATTATTCTCATGAAGATTGAAGTGAGCTGATTGGAGCTTATACTTAAATTGATAGTAAATGTGAAATGGAAATCTAGCGTCCGCCAAAATGAAACAACGGGCGCAATTCTTGTTGTAATTTATTCATCACAAAAATTCACTTTTGTTACTTTCGTATCCAATATTGTGCTAATCATAATCGATTATGTTCACGGCATCACGCAAATCATAATTCATAATTATATAATATTGAAATGGTTTAACTGGATACTACTTCCACTTTAAAAGCCAATTATAGTATGGTAAATTTTATTAATTTTGTCGATTTTTTCGTAAGGGAATTTTCCTGATTCCAAGGATTAGGAGCTCTCAATTCACTTCTTATATCCGAGTTCATTTTATGTTACACTAAACTGTCACGTTTGAAATCGTAACTGATTCTAAACATCTCAACAGTATCTAGGGTGCTTGTATAGTGACAATGGCATGTCGGTTAGCCGACCCCTCCACGCTGACCGGCCTCGACGAGCGTCAGTGAAACCCTCCCGTAACGGAGATATTATTCCGGAGATATGTCTTCAGCCAGATACGGACCCTCTCAAAATGTTCCAGGGTTTAGTGGATTGTTCCAAGTACCCAAATACTAATGTTGCTAGATTTGACGAGGCAGGGCGTGGGCAGAGCTGCAACAACGCCAACTGTGACTTTGTCAACAATGTGACAGTCATCTGTAACAACACTGGTCCTAACGATAATGCCGACGACATCACCTGCAACACCTTGGTAGACGACGAATCACTCAATCTCGTTGACGACACATCCTTCGTCAACGACGACACTCTTGACGACGACTCACTCATTGACATGTTTTTTGTCGACAGCTGCTCCTTCGGGGGTGACTGGGATGACGAAGACGAGGACTCAATCTTCTGTGAAGAGACGCTGGCTGATCTTCTTCCTGTGGAAGACGATGGAACTAGATCGTACAATGAGGTGATGTTTGGGGTTCCTCAACTTGCACTTGGTCAGCAGGAGGGTGACAGTGGGAACGCAAAAGTGAAGGGTTTGTTGGGTGTTTTGTTCATGTTCCTGCTTGCTAGAGTTTGTTACCAAGCTTGGGTGCTTGCTCAACTCCACGCTTCAGGTTGGATGTTCATGATAGTTCATCATATTTAATTAGAATGCTAGCTGTTGGTTCTCATAATATAATTTTACTTCATGATGCAAGTATATTTTTATTTTTCCGTTTGCTTGTCCTTTCTCCACTACTTGGTTATGATTTATAAATTTTGCGTTATGCGAGGTGTAGTAAAGGCCTCTAAAAGGCTTATATAATATAGAATGTCAAAATTTTGGCCCGCTATAATATCATAGTTATTTCTGTGCCTGAAATATAATATATAATAATATTGACAACTGTGGCCAATACTCGGGTAATTAATGTTCATTTCTGAGAAAAGTATATTGCTTTTAAGCAATATTGCCGGGCGATGGTTTCTTATTGGCACGAATGTTGGCATCAAATGAAGGCTTAATTACCAAATTCCGACCAATTTTCAAAATGAATCTTTAAGTAAGAGGAATTCTAAGATGGAACGCTCGATCAACAAATTTGGCTTGTCAGTATGTTAATGTGTTGATAGTGACATGTGATTCATGAAATGACTTCATTAAGAAATTGAATATTAAAATGCCCTATTCTATCTAAGATACCACTAGAACCGTTTCAATATAAGAACACCGGGTGTTTATAGCTAAATAATAACTGAGCTTTGCTCATTTCATTTTCTAATTTTATAATGGGAAAGTGATATTATTAGTGAAAGTTAAGTGTTTAATTTATTTATTTTTTCAGTTCACAACTGGACGACAGATGACGTTGAGCTATGGTTGAAGGATGTGGTGGGACTCCCTCAATACCTCCCTATATTCAGAAAGTTTAAAGTAGACGGCAACATCTTACCAAGGTGATATTTGAAAACGTTTATTAACGTTTATAAACAATATGAATATCTGTTTATTGTGATAGATCTGAATGGTCTTTAAATATAATATTGCCTGTCAATTCTTGGCAAATGACTGCATATACTGTAGTGTAGACTAAATATTGGCAAATCTTACCAATTTTATACAGTATGCCGAGCGGAATTTCTGGTAAAATACAGCATTTACATTCGTCAACCTATGACAAATCTGTCTCTTATACCAAAAATAACATATTTTATTAAAAAATGTAATACATCGCCATTCCCCATCAAACCTCGATCGAGGCTCAGTTTTGAACCGTTGGGAGCTTTCTCTCGCATAATTTCCTTTTAAAGCGTATCGTTGTTTTAATCCACAGACAAAGACTACCAGTTTCGATTTGTTTTGATTGTTATTTTTCTAATGTATCGTTTGTAATTATTTCAAGGAAAGTGCATATGATTTTTTGATGCGATAAGGCGATAAAAAAGCAAGAAAATGGAAATTCATATAAATATATTTTAGTTTCATTTATCAAATTGTCTATGGTCAAAACAATCTTGAGCAACTCTTAAAAAACAGGTAAAAAAATGAAAAGTCCAAAACTTGAGCTTGGTGACTGCATCGTCTACAGTTACTCATTTTAATTTTACTGGTCCTGAATTGTGACGGATGAACTGTTTCAGATTGGCGCTGAATACTGATCATCTGATCCAAGGGCGGTTTGGAATATCAGATACAAATCACAAGAACAAAATCATCCTCAAAGCAATGGACCTCGTCCTCTTCGGACCTCCCAAAGGTAAGAAAACATTATCTAGACCTACCACTGACCAGGCTATACTTACACAATCTGTAACTACCGTCACACATTTCATCTCAAACGACAAGTTTTATAAATTCAACTATTAGTGTACCAATGATCTTAAGTTAAAATGACTTACCAACTCGATAAGTAACGAAATTTGTGTGCTAATATTCACATAATTATTTAGTAAATAAGTAATTATGGTTAGTAAATAAGTGATTGTATGTTTAATTTAAAACTTTAAAAATATGGTGTACTAACGTTACATTTTCCAAAACAGTGTTCTATAATCCGATAAAAGATGCATTGCTAGCCTTGGCTATACTGGTAGCTATATCTGGATTGTTCTTCTCTGCCGTTCAGCGGAGAAAGGCGCAAAATCAGGTATTGAGATCATACATTTATTAATCAGGTAGCTGACTAAATAATATTTCTCCAAACTTGCTTATTTCACTTATTTCACTTAATAACATCGCTCACTGGGATGTTAACTCGCCAGATATAATGGCTGCCACTGCTAACGAGAACAACTTTACCCCGATCTGTTCAAAATCTTTATTTCAAAACATAAAACTATGATTTTTAAAACTTAATGGAAAATCTTTTCTTTTGACATTCTGAGAGTTTTAATTGCATTACTAATAAGTAATATGATTAATAAGATATTATAATTTGTCTTTAACCGCAGATAGGTAAGATGATAGAAGAGGTTGACAAACTTCAGGTTAACGAGCAGAAGTTCATCGACATCCAGACTGAGTAAGTAATTCATTTTAGATTAGGAATCTTTACAGTTCAAATTTTAAACTATTTATCAGTACGTCACACGATTTTTTTGCGCGCAAAATATATAATTCATCTCATTGTTAATGCAGAAAAAAAGATTTTTAGTCGCATGGTTTGAATTCATGGACTTCTGCTACGAAATTTGACGCAGTATAAATTTCTATAACTTACAATTCTCTCATAGCAAAGGTTTAACTATGCAACCTCATATCAATAATAATTTTGATTGAATACGCCCAATGGGCGCTGGTCTGTACCGAAATATAAAAAACATACAATATAAAATTATAGAGAAACATAGAGAATAAAATTCTAGCAGGCCTCCGAAAACTATTTAGCCTTGTGTGTCGACGTAACTAGAAAATAGCATAAAAATATGAGTTGCAGTTCAGGTTCTGTTACTTTAACATTTACCAGTCTCAGCACTGAAAAAAACACACTAAATAAGCTTTCAACGCGGTTCATTTATTAATTGTAAAAAGTGGTAAATCTACACACGGCAACTCCAGTCAGCACCAAATAACACTCAACATACATCATACATTAACTCTTATCAGGAGCTTTGGGACGTTTGAGATGATAAGGTTTTATCAGCCGTGCAGATCTTTCTGTCCCGTATGAAATAATGTTTATTTGAGTCTTTCTGGATCATCTGTTTCATCTCCTTAACAAGTTTACTATGCGCAAGCTGTTCCTCTTTGGTTCTGTCCGGTCCCAAATAAACATGTTTGAAAACGTCACTGTCTCTGAGGTTTCGTGCACGCATCAAAATCAAGTCTACCTCACTGGCACAACCAAATTCGACCTTGATAGGCCTATTCTTACCCGGTTCCTTCCTTCCGATTCTGTAGACCTCACCAGTGCGGAGCACGGGGAAAGCGTCAGTTCCGTAAAGTATGTCCTTGACAACTTTGTTGAGCTCAAAATCGGCTTCTTTATCACTTTCATGGCAACCGTAGATCATCAAGTACTTCGATCGTTTCTTCTCTTCATTTACAGTCCTTACGGCTTGTTTGATAGAGTTTTCTGTTAAAGGTTTCCCGCTAGGACGCTGAGCAGTGTTTTTCTTGACAACATCCGTCCAACTTTTCATTTCTGATTTAACTGTCTCCTGAACTGAATTCATCTGTCCTTGTTGAGTTTCAATAATTAGTTTCTGATCCGCTATTTTCTCCGATTTCATGACATCAATTTTCCCAGCAGCACTTTTACAAAGTTCAATATTCTTCTCCGCCAATTTCATTAAGCTGCCGATGATTTTGACGAGTGGATTTTTGTTAAGTTTCATTAAAGCGGTCTCAGTAAAGTCAGATCTACATGAAACATTGGCAACCTTGAATATTTTCTGAAGTTCTGATGTCATCTCATGGTCCATCGCGTTGAGCCGGTCCACTGAAAAATCCATGCTACACAGTCGGCGCTGTTGAAAGTCGACGTGGCGAGTAACACTTTCACTGATAACGATCACTGATAAGCGAGCTAAAAAACAGTGCAAATACAAATTGGTTTACTTTATTTAATCGTCGTATCCATCTCGTGCGGTGGCGCTTTGAGGTCACTGCACAACCTGACGGTGATAGTAATCAATAACGCAATTATTAATTAAATGTTGGACCCCACCCTCTTCTCAAGCTGTAGCGCTCTCCAAACCATTTAACTCGCCACTCACCCTCTCTCTCTCTCGAACTGTCGCTACTTGCTTACTTGCAAATAGCATCACAGGACCTTTATCTTAGCTGGAGTGTTCATTATAATCCTTAAAACTCTCCTAGATATGCCCATATAAGGAATAATTACATGTCCTCCACCGATACGAAATATCTATTTATGCGATAAAAAGTACTTTTGGTGGATGTTACTGGTTTAACAGAAAGTTACAGACTAGTTGTTTGAGTGTGGCTAATTTAAGACAGAAAATAATACTAACATTTTTATCGTAAAACCTTATTAGTAAAATCAATAATAATAGTAAAACAATAATAAATGATAATAGTAAATTATGTTTTAAACATTAATATTAAGCGACACGTATAATACTCAGTAGTGTGAACATAACTATTTAGAAGCCCAAATACTAAGATTCAGACTCTCAGACCGACAAAAGAAAACTATCAGTTTTAAGTCTCAAAACTGCACTGTGACATACACTATGTCAGTATATATTATACCCATTAAAATTATTGCATCTTAGGAATAGAGCTTCTCCTAATAATATTAATATGACAAATTTAATAAATATGTCTTTAAACCAATTTTAAACATATCCACTGTATAACACATTTTAACAGAATATGGTGGTAGATTATTGTAAATTTAGGGTCCAATAACACTGCAACACACTCTTGTTTATATAATCTATATATTATTACATATTATATTATAAGTTAAAACTTCTACAGTTTAAAAGTAAATCTATGGAGTTGGGAAATCCGTTCAAATTTATCATTAGTTGTTCTATCTTATTTATTAAGTAAATTCAACATCATGATGGCTATTGAGAAACCGGCATATTATAGAAAGGACCTGAAAAAGTTATCGTAGGTTCAGGTATAGTAAACACGAGCGAGGTTACTCGTCTAACTTTTCCGGGTCATTCGGCTTAGTCGTCTCACCCCAAATAACAACGTCCTTATCTCACCCCAAATATTGAAAATTTAGGGGCTCAACTCATAAAGAAGTGACCGCACTGCAAAAGGAAAGGAGAATGGCACCTCGTCCGTCCGTCCGAAAGCTTGCAGCTTGGGTTGAGTATTTTGCGTGCTTCACATTCCTCAAATCCACATTGGGCTCTGAAATAAAGACAGTGAAACCATTAAACTCCACTGTAACGATTTCAAGAAGCTTTTCAAACCATCGATGATAGTCTGTTAACTTTTAGTCTGTTAAGTTCTCTAATTTCTGTGCACCTTAACTAACAGTCAGCTAAACAGGTTCTTTTGCGATAGTCAAAACGCGACAACTAGCGCTGGATGGCGACAACTAGCGCTATCCAGCGCTAGTTGTCGCCATCCAGCGCTAGTTTTCGCTATCCAGCGCTGGATAACGCTGGGCCAGCGCAAAATATATATGTTCGATAATTGTCGCTATCCAGCGCTTTTGTCGCCATCCAGCGCTAGTTGTCGCCATCCAGCGCTAGTGGTTCGCTATCCAGCGCTAGTTGTCGCTGGCTATGCGACACTGTCGCACGCGATAGTTTGCGATGGCCAGCGCAACTGGCCATCGCAGAAAACAGTTCGATAACTAGCGCTGGATAGCGACAACTAGCGCTGGATAGCGACAACTAGCGCTGGCCAGCGCTGGCCAGCGCTAAGCGATAGCCAGCACTGGCCAGCGCTGGCCATCGATATCCAGCGCAAAATTTTTGCGCTATTACTCATCAGCTAGCGCTGGCCAGCGCTGGCCAGCGCTAGCCAGCGCTAACCATCGCTAGCCAGCGCTAACCAGCGCTAGCCAGCGCTGGCCAGCGCTAGCTGACGAGTAATATCGCAACTATATTGCGCTGGCCAGCGCTGGCTGACGAGTAATACTAATATATCAAGCGTGCTAATTCACTCTACAGTCGATCTTCGAGATTGTTCTAAAACATAAAAGGGCCCCCGATGGTTGTAACCAACTTCAATCGATGTATTTTCGACGCTAATTTCGAATCAACCCCAATGGGCCCATTACATATGGTTAAAATGCTCTAGCTCCTGACGAGATATTGTCGAAAAACTGTACATGGTATCGATCACGTGATATGACGTATAAGGAAGTTAGTCCTAATTTCTCGTTATTATTAGAGTTTCAGCATATGTTTTGTTAAGATTGGGTTAGGGTTAGCATTAGGGTTGGGATCAGATTAAGAGGGTTAAGGTTTCGAAAAGTCGTTCAGAACCTCTAGAGTCAGAGAATGGGTTAAAAAAGTCACGTGACAGTCGAGTGTAAAGTGATTAATCATCATCCGACTAATATCGCAAGTATATGATTTTGATACATTGCGCTGGCTAGCGCTGGTTAGCGCTGGCTAGCGCTGGTTAGCGACAACTAGCGCTGGCCAGCGCTGGCTAGTGCTGGTTAGCGCTGGCTAGCGCTGGTTAGCGACAACTAGCGCTGGTTAGCGCTGGCTAGCGATGGTTAGCGCTGGCTAGCGTTGGCTAGCGCTGGCCAGCGCTGGCTGACGAGTAATAGCGCAAAAATTTTGCGCTGGATATCGATGGCCAGCGCTAGTTTGTCCGCTATCCAGCGCTAGTTGTCGCTATCCAGCGCTAGTTATCGAACTGTTTTCTGCGATGGCCAGTTGCGCTGGCCGTGCGACAGTGTCGCATAGCCAGCGACAACTAGCGCTGGATAGCGACAACTAGCGCTGGATGGCGACAACTAGCGCTGGATGGCGACAACTAGCGCTGGATAGCGACAATTATCGAACATATATATTTTGCGCTGGCCAGCGTTATCCAGCGCTGGATAGCGACAACTAGCGCTGGATGGCGACAACTAGCGCTGGATAGCGCTAGTTGTCGCCATCCAGCGCTAGTTGTCGCGTTTTGACTATCGCAAAAGAACCAGCTAAACATAGTAGCTTATATCTCAAGATAGACAGTTAAACAAACAAATTGGTAGTAATCTCGGCTCACCACAAAATCCTGTCCACCACTTTTTGTCGTTGTGGGAATGGTAAAGTTGGGAATAGTTGATTAGTGAGTTTGTGTAATGTATTCGTTAAATACATTATTACTACTTATTTGGAATATAATTTAGTTACACGTAAACCATACAATAGATAGCCCTAACTTTCTGTTGCATGGTTCCATGAACTGTTCGTTCAATTTAGTTGCAATACGTCATGTTGATGACCATTAGAATCCCTTTTAAAACCAATATGTCAACAGTATTAATGGCGCTTGTCTTACTTGTTTTTTTGCACGTGGGGTAATCTGAGAACACCCCGTTCGCTTGACACGTGATTATTTGCTGACCAATCACAGCAAAGC